GAGATGAGGATTCTGGGTAGAGAAGAGGATTCTGGGTGGAGAAGAGGATTCTGGGTAGAGAAGCAGCGCCCATCAGTTTCTGAATGTGGGACAGATGTCCCGTTTACTACAGACGGTGTGACATTCCTGACCCTCCTGAGCGAGCAGAAGGCATTTATTAGAGAATAGTGGGCAAAAAAGTTAGATTGGTGGGCCGGGTTAGGCCCCGACTGCCTTACAGAGGAGTCAAAGACAGTCTCCACTGTAGGAAAATGGAAAAATCGTAAGGCAGTTGATGGAAATGAGAACGCTTGCCCTGTACTTTGGAACACCGGGTATGACAGCATCAGCGAGAACCGGAGGGAAACCACCCGCTTTCCTCTGCTGTGGCCCTCCCGGCCAGCTTGGGCTCGAGGATGAGGCGCTGAGGAGCTGGAAGGCAGTGTTTCTCAGCCTTTTTTTCCTGGCTCACACGCAAGCTCTCATCAGCACAATCTCAGCGGGTTCCACTTCTTCCTCGAGGCTGGGGGCTGTCTTGGTGGAGGGACCCGCTCCCACTGCCACCCCTCAAGAGTCACTGCTCCACTGGATCCATCCAGAGCGTTGGAAGACGGGAGAAAGATAGCGACTGTGTGCAGGGCAGTGGGGAGAGGGTTTGAATTACCTCTTCCTCCTCTCCCTCCTCATCTTCTTCAGGGCAGGTGGGGATTGGTCTCAAGACCTCTCCTATTAAAAAGCGTTAGAGTCATGAGTAGTTGGGAGTTAATTTCCCTTGTAATAATGTGTGCATGTGTATATACCAGGGGTCCTCAAACTTTGTAAACAGGGGGCCAGCTCACTGTCCCTCAGACCGTTGGAGGGTGCGCGCTGTGGGCCGGCCTGGGACGCGTCGGCTGCTAAGCAGGACAGGCAGCGGCAGCAGAAACACCCGGATAAATGTCCTAGGCGGGCGGCATGTGGCCCTCGGGCCGTAGTTTGAGGACGCCTGGTATATACTCACGTACACACCAAAGGTGGGGATTGTATGCGTGTGGAGTATTTTCTACATTTTCTTAATTATCTGTCTCTGGTATTAGAATTTGAGCTAAATAAAGGCATGAACTATATTCAAGAAATTCTTGTCATTAAGTTTATGATTAAGTTTAGGCCGGGCGCGGTGGCTCACGCCTGTCATCCTGGCACTCTGGAGGCCGAGGCGGATCACTCAAGGTCAGGAGTTTGAAACCAGCCTGAGCAAGAGCGAGACCCCGTCTCTACTAAAAATAGAAAGAAATTAATTGGCCAGCTAAAAATACATAGAAAAAATGAGCCGGGCATGGTGGTGCATGGCTGTAGTCGCAGCTACTCGGGAGGCTGAGGCAGGAGGATTGCTCAAGCCCAGGAGTTTGAGGTTTCTGTGAGTGAGGATGATACCATGCCACTCTAGTCCAGGCGAGAGAGAGGGACTCTGTTTCAAAAAAAAAAAAAAGATTAAGTTTATTTATTTTTATTTTTTATTTTTTTACTATTACCTAGGATTAAGTTTAAAACAGGAAAATAACATTTTGGTGGAATATATCTTGAGTTGGTTTTCTGAACTTGGTTTTGATCTTTGTGTCATTAAAATGTAGAGAATAATTCTGTTGAGTTTGAGGGGAAGGAAAGCCTCAAATATAAAAAAGCTAATTGTTTTTAAATTATAGGTACTTTCTACTGTGTGTAAACTACTTTTTCTATGGAGAGACTGTAGCTGATTATTTTGCTACGTTTGTTCAAAGAGAAGAACAACTTCAGTTCCTCATTCGCTATCACAGATTTATATCATTTGCCCTCTATCTGGCAGGTAAGTTAAGGAAAATATTCTATATTGATGTGTAGCTAACTTATTTTCATATTTATTTTTATTTATGTTATTTAAATTCATAGCATCCTTTATTTGTTACGTTTTATCCCAGCCCCTCTTTTTAATTGTTTTCCACATATAAAGCTGTTTCTTTCATCATGGTCTTAAATATTAATAGCAATTATTCCCTAATGGTGGTTTAAAAAATGTATTTAATAGTCCCTCCATGTATTTGAAAAGTTTCTTTGTAAGTTGTAATAAGGAAACTTAAATACGTAGTGATTATTCACCAAATATAATGTACAAAGAAACTTTCACATGTATGTTGCTTTTATTTGTCCCTGGCAAATAGAGCTTTTTTGTGTAGAATTAGAGTAATCAGTTTTCTTTACATGATTTATTATATACAACTTTGTTTATAGTATGCTGTGCCACGTGTCTTTATGATTTGAGATTAAAAATGATATTCTTAGAGTAATGTTAGAATAAAGAGATTTCTTTTCCATAAAATTTACCAGTCATAAAAAAAGCAACTCTAAGAAATTGTTTTTAAAATGTGCTTTTTATTAACAAAAGCCAGATTGCTTGCCGTGCGTGGTGGCTCTGGGATGTCAAGGCAGGAGGATCGCCTGAGCTCAGGAGTTCCAGACCAGCTAGGCAAGAGCGAAACCCTGTCTCTACTAAAAAAAAAGAAAAAGTTACCCGGGCATGGTGGCGCATGCCTGTAGTCCCAGCTACTTGGGAGGCTGAGGCAGGAGGATCGCTTGAGCCCAGGAGGTTGAGGTTGCTGTGAGCTAGGCTGACGCCACGGCACTCACTCTAGCCTGGGCAACAGAGTGAGACTCTGTACGCTTCCCCTCTTCTCCCCACAGAAAAAGCCAGATTGCCGTTGACTATGTGAGTTAATGTTGGCATATTTGATTAAATTATCTGTGCCTCAATTTCTTTGTAAACACTTAGAGCAGTACCTGGAATAATTTTAATATTTGTTGTCATGTGTTTTTGAAGAGTAAAACACGTGTTCTGCATCTATCAAAACACCTTTGGGGCATTTTTTCATGATATGGAATCTTGAGTGTTTTCTGTCACTTAACCAAACCAATGAGCTTGATTTATTTTGTTAAATGTAAGGTGGATTCTGGGTGAATTCTTTCCTGTTATGGGAGAGAAGAATATAGTAGCTTCTTGGTTTATGTTTAGAGTGGCAAGATTTTTTTTTTTCCTGGCATTTTGAGCTTCCATGATAATATTGACCAGAAAGCGGGTCTGTGGTGTCTTCTGTTACTGAACCCAACAATTTTGCTTTATTTCATGTGCTTTATTTTCTTTCGTAGTTATTAGAATTATTGCTAATTATTTAGAAACATAATTAATAATTTAGAAATTATTATTAGAAAACGTAATTATTTAGAAACAATTGTGATTACTTAAAATATAAGTCATTTGTTATCATGAGTATGTGTACATTAGTTTTAAAAAATCATTTTCAAAAGAATTATAGATAAAAGCAACCCTTTATTCCGCCACTTTCAGATTTTTTTTCTGCTTTCCTAAGATAGCTATTTCTTAATTCATTTTAGGCATTATCTATTGACTTCTTATTATGACCTCTCCCTTCTCCATACTCGGATTCAATAGACATTACCTGCATGATAGTCGTTACTGATTTTTGTATGATGTGAGGATTGAAAAACATGCTGTAGATACACTTGATGCGTTGGTACAGCAATTAAATTTTATTTAATTGAAATGCAAGATCTGTTTTCCACGTCCACGTATCTCAGCCAGGGACTGATTCCTTGCAATAGTGCGAGGGCTGTTCATTGACCACGTGCCGTGGGATCAGGCACTTTGGAGAGTACAAGATTGTTGTTCCCCTCAAGAAACTTAAAATGCCTAATTGCACGTAGTGGGAGAGAAGGCATCCGAGTAAGTCAGTAACAGAGGCCTAGGTATGACAAAGGAAATCGGCTTTCTTGGGCCCTGGGAGTCTCCCATTCTGTGCCAAATCGCACTACAAGCACGTTTTTTTTTTTTTTTTTGTTCTTGGACAGGTTTCTGCATGTTTGTGCTGAGCCTGGTGAAGAAACACTATCGTCTGCAGTTTTATATGGTGTGTATTGACCCTTATTCCGTAATCATCAAATGTAACAAAAACCTAAATGTGCTAGTTCGTGTCTTGCCCAAGTAGGAGGGGTGTTTCACTCGCAGATGACCACTAAATATAAAAAAAAAAAAAACATTGAAGTTGAAAAGTTTGTGAGGATTTTAAAATTTTAGCTGCTTTTCAAAGCTTCCCGAAACCTTTTTCTTTGAATAGTTTTTGAAACGCTATAAAGTATTGGGATTCTGTAAATTTACAGAAATTGGAAGAGTTTCGTAGTCTCCCCGGGCAGTTCCTAAATCTGGTAGACACCTACTAGGTTGTTCTATGGAAAGTAACTATGTTTAACTTGCTCTTAAGCATGGAGCATATGAAGGCAGCAGGGCGTGTGTTTTGTTGGTGTAGTTATGGTTAGTCATAGCATTGCATAATATCTTCTTGGCACCAGGTATTTTGTTCAGCGTGCCAAAGTCTATGCTTCATGAAGTTTATCACTGCACACAATGGACTTTTCTAATTTCCTTAAACTGTCACTAATTATAAGAACGGATACTGCAGTGCAGCGTTGAGTAAGGCCTGCTTTGGAAATGCACCGTGTTTTCTATTCTTCGTGCTTTGTTTTTCCTCCGTCAAGACGTTCTGCTGAGCATTAGTGCTGGGAAACCGCAGCTGTCTCTCACATTTTCTAATTCCAGAGGATCTGAGAATGAAGAGCAAAATTTTTAGTGAAAATCTAGAAGCAATCAAGACAAATTAGAAATAGAATCGCCTATGAGAATATAAATTGTGCCTAGTGGGGAAAAAATCATGTGTGCATTTTGAAGCAACCAGGTAAAAGACAATTGGATCTTTTCAGCTGGTTTGCTGCCGTGGGAAACAGATTTATTAAGAATACATCAAGGCCGGGGCGCGGTGGCTCACGCCTGTAATCCTAGCACTCTGGGAGGCCGAGGCAGGCGGATTGCTCAAGATCAGGAGTTCGAGACCAGCCTGAGCAAGAGCGAGACCTCGTCTCTACTATAAAGAGAAAGAAATTAATTGGCCAACTAATATATATATATAGAAAAAATTAGCTGGGCACAGTGGCTCATGCCTGGAGTCCCAGCTACTCGGGAGGCTGAGGCAGGAGGATCGCTTGAGCCCAGGAGTTGGAGGTTGCCGTGAGCGAGGCTGACGCCACAGCACTCACTCTAGCCTGGGCAACAAAGCGAGACTCTGTCTCAAAAAAACCAAAACAAAAAAAGAATACATAAAAATTCCAAGAATTATACAAAGGCATTTTATGAATTTCAGTAAAAATTATAAGACTGGTATATGGAAATGTTAGCTTCTTTTTGTTTACATTCTACTCATACTGATTATGTTACAAGTCACTAAAGTGGCCATGTCTCAGGCTAAATGGCTTTGATGAGACACAAAGATCTTTGAAAATTTGAAATTGAATACATTCGTCGAACAGACCTGTTACAGGCAGTTGAACCCTGTTGGTTTGAATCATTTGAAGTTAGAAATATTAATAAATCTTTATGAGAGAAGGTTACCATAATAAACTCTGAAAGCAAGTTAATTTTTAGCATTTTTCATAACTGCAGAATGCCGCCAGAATGAAGTGTTCTCTAAATGCTGTAACAGCACCGTACAGCACCGTACATTTCTCATCATTTAAATCTAATGATTCAGGATTATGGTCTATATTTGTGTGTGTGTTTTTTTTTAAATTTAGGAGTATATCTGTTATTAGCATTGTTTGTATATAAGTTAAGATGACTTGGCTAGATGTTCTCATTATTTTAAGGTTCCAGCAGGTAACAAAATGAACGTCATTTACTAACAGCATTTACCTACTATGACCTCACCTTACAAATTTGGGCCGGAAGTCAGGGTAGAAATTTGTGTCCCAAAGTCACTGTTGCTTCTTCGGCTGGGCTGATGAGTTGTGTTCACTAATTTTTGTGTTGTTGGGCTATTAACAGTTCGCATGGACTCACGTCACTTTACTGATAACCGTTACTCAGTCACACCTTGTCATCCAAAATCTGTTTGAAGGCATGATATGGTAAGGGAACAGTATTACACTGCTTTGTATTTATGTCATAGCACTTTTAAAGCTCTTTTTTTTTTTTTTTTTTATTACCGTGGGACCGTGTCTTAACAGATGTCTACTAAAATGTGCTGTGTGTGTTGTTGCTGTGTTCTGTTAAAATGTCTTTACCGTCTGACAACTAAAAACAAAAATGCTTCATTAACAAGTAGAAGCTTTTTATTCGGGTTCCAAATAAAGTGCATAACGACCCCCATATATGATCGTCAAGTAATTAATTACATCTTCCGGTGTTAATAAACTTGGATGTGATTTTTTTTACAAAGGATAGACTTTAAAGCTATGTTAAGATACTGTATACACGAAATATAAAGGAATGTGAAAGTTTGCTTGTCAGTGAACAGTGCGCTGGAAATACATTTTTCTCTAGGTGGAAGTTGGGTAGTTCTACTTCGCTTTCATGTAAGAGTAGTTTTCCAGATTTCAAATGTATGGAGTTACCTGCTCTGTAGCAGTGGCTTTGCATATTCAGAAAGCATTTTTATTAAAAATTATAAAACTTAAAAAATTATTTGGAATGGAGAAAAAGCTTAAGATTAAAACAATCTGACCATATTTTTCCCACATTGATTTTAAACTGATTGATTAAAGTCTTTTACAGTTGATTGGTTTTATCAAGTTAAATTTTATTCCCTTGACAGGGTTGTGTTTTTTTTTTTTTTTTTTTTTTTTTTTGAGACAGAGTCTCGCTTTCTTGCCTAGGCTAGAGTGAGTGCCGTGGCGTCAGCCTCGCTCACAGCAACCTCAGACTCCTGGGCTCAAGCAATCCTGCTGCCTCAGCCTCCTGAGTAGCTGGGACTACAGGCACGAGCCACCATGCCCGGCTGATTTTTATATTATATATATTAGTTGGCCAATTAAATTCTTTCTATTTTTATGGTAGAGACGGGGTCTCGCTCAGGCTGGTTTTGAACTCCTGACCTTGAGCAATCCGCCCGCCTCGGCCTCCCAGAGTGCTAGGATTACAGGCGTGAGCCACCGCACCCGGCCAGGGTTGTGTTTTTTACCAAGGGATATGTGTGTTTGTGCAGACAATTGGAATCGCTTTAATATTGTCTTCCATATATTGTACAAACTTTTAATCAATAGGAACAGTTACTGAAGTAAGTAGGTTCTGTACAATTAGTAGAGTTTAATGCAGTCATAGCTAAGATACAATTAAAATTAATAATAGGCTGCTTTTCTGAAGGTAATCTTTCAGTCTGTCTTTTTTTTTAAATTGTAACTTGCTCCTCATACAACTAAAATTTGAGCTGGACACGGTAGCTCATACCCCTAATACCAGCTGCTTGGAAGGTTGAGGCTGGAGGATTGTCAGAGTCTGACCTGGGTAACATAGTGAGACCCTGTCTCTAAAAAAAAAAAAATTTTTTAAATTAGCCAGGCATAGTGGCGCAGGCCTGTAATGTCCCAGCTGCTCAAGAGGCTGAGGTGGGAGGATCACTTGAGCCAGGAGTTCAAGGCTGCAGTGAGCTATGATAGCACCACTGCACTCAAGCCTGGGCAACAGAGAAAGACTATGTCTCTAAAAGTTAAAAATAAAAAAAAAAACCCTAAAATTTAAATGTCTGTAACTATAGAAATTGATCATTTAGTATTTTCCTTATCAGTATTCACCTAGTATATTTGTTAATAGATTTTGCTCTGCTTCAATTGCTAAATGGGCAAATTTGGTTGGTACTTATTGTTTCTACTAATGTTTTGGCAATTATTACGTTTGGACTAGCGTGCAGTATAATCCAAAGGCTTATTCCACTGGTTTGTTGTCAGTTATAACCTATATGAATATTTGCTACTTAATCATATGAACTTTTTTTTTTTTTTTTCCTTAACAGGTTCCTTGTTCCAATATCAAGTGTTATCTGCAATGACATAACTGCTTACCTTTTTGGATTTTTTTTTGGGAGAACTCCATTAATTAAGGTAATAGAAAACTACAGTAGAATGGAGACCATGTTCAAGATAGTCCAATTACTTACGCATGCGCACACACAGCCCCTTCAGTAAAAAACCGTAAACCTTTCAGGGGAATAAAATTTATCTTGGTAGAAATCCATCAACCATAAAAGACATTAATCAGGTTAAAATTAACATGGGAAAAATATGGTCAGATTCTTTTTTATCTTAAACTTTTTCTGCATTCCAACTAATGTTCAAGTTTTGTAATTTTTAACCAGTAAAAATGCTTTCTGAGCATGCAAGCCGCTGCTACAGAGCAAGTAACTCAGGACATCTGAAGGTCACCGTGACCTTCATGATGAGCCACTAGAGAACATTTCTGACATCTAGGTGCTATTGCACGTTTTTGATTCCCGAGGTCCTTTGCTTTTCCTTAGCAGCACTTGGCGATGCGGTGTAGGGCCAGGGAGCCGCTCCCAGGAGTTCCGTCTGGTTCTTCCTCAGACAGTGTATGTATGGCTCTTCAGGACGGGCTTGACTCCTTTGGCTTGTGAGTCTTAACACGTCTTGCTGCTGGTGCCTAGTCTCCGCCACGGGTGCGGTTCTTCATTCTCCTTCCCTAGCTGTACGGACCGAGGAGCCTTCTGGCAGCTCTGCCCCCGCCCGAGCCCTCCCCTCCTCTCCCCCTCCCCCAAGCTGTCCCCTCCTCTCCCCCACCCCCGAGCCCTCCCCTCCTCTCCCCCACCCCCACCTCCCTCCTCATCCCCACCCCAAGCCCTCTCTCCACCCAGCCCTCCTCCTCTTACCCCAAGCCTCCCTCCTCTCGCACCCAAGCCGTCCTCCTCTCACCCACACCCGGCCTCCCTCCTCTCCCCACCCCAGCGTCCCCTCTCTCCCCCACCCCCAGCCCTCCTCCTCTCCCCACCCCCCAGCCCTCCCCTCACTCCTCCCCACCCCAGCCCTCCCCTCCTCTCCCCGACCACCAAGCCGTCCCGCGTGTCCCCTCTCCCCGACCCCGAGCCTCCCTCCTCTCCTACCCCGAGACCGCCCTCCTCCTCCCCCCGACCCCAGCCCCCCTCCTCCCTACCCAGCCCTCCCTCCTCTCCCGACCCCTCCTTCTCCCTACCCCCAGCTCCCTCCTCTCCCTACCCCAGCCTCCCTCTCCTCCCGACCCCAAGCGTCCTCTCTCCCCGACCCAAGCCGTCCTCCTCTCCCCCACCCTACCAAACTTGCTGAAAGAGTAAATCATCCCATCCTCACATATTCATGTCTATTGGTGATACCTTTATATCCAAATTCATTTAAAAAAAAAAAGATTTGGGGGGGCTCCAGTTACAGGCTGAGGAAATGCAGGTGACAATGACAGGTTAAGACACAGGAAAGGAAAACGCCAGGCGCAGATAGTTTGTTTTTGCCTTAAACTTGTTCTGTTTACGGGCAGTGGAGGCAAAGAAGGAAATGAACTAAGTTAGGCAGTTCTTGTTTTGGGAAAGAAAGAAACCAGTTCTCTCATGAAAATCAAACCATTTTCTAGAGCCGATTTCTTAAAAAAGCTTTTCGCGCTTGGGCTTCAGATGGGATTCACTCACTCAGTTCGCACCCAGGGCAAAGGTCTTTTACAACATTCTCAGGAATACGTTCTTGCTGTTTGATGTTGTTATTTGAAGGCAGTTTTAGAGGGACTGAGGTAGCTGTTCAGACATAAAGCCTTCTGCCTGTCCGGAGTGTGAGAGAGAAGTTGTGCATTTCAGAAGAATCCGTAGACTGCCTTTCCTTCAAAAAGTCTCCCTTAAACTTTTCCCCTTGGGGGCAGCTACAGAGAGCCCCGCTGAGCTGCAGGGGTGGTTGCAAGCAAGCTGTGTTTTTTTTCTTTGAGACAGAGTCTCACTCTGTTGCCCAGGCTAGAGTGGCCATGGCGTCAGCCTCGCTCACAGCAACCTCCAACTCCTGGGCTCAGGCGATCCTCCTGCCTCAGCCTCCCGAGTAGCTGGGACCACAGGCATGCACCCACGCCCGGCTCATTTTTTTATAATTTTTTAGTTGGCCAATTGATTTCGTTCTGTTTTTTAGTAGAGACGGGTCTCGCTCTTGCTCAGGCTGGCCTCGAACTCCTGACTTGGGTGATCCCTCCTGCCTCGGCTCTCCAGAGTGCTAGGATGACAGGCGTGAGCCACTGGCCCCGGCCCAAGCTATGCATTTTGAAAACATTTACAAAGCTGCTCCGGAGCAAGCGATGAAGTATTCCAGAGTTCTACACAGGCCGAGAAGTTTCTGGCTTAGGAAGGCTGTTAATAGCTGTAGGAGAATCTTAGCGACTGACTTTGAATAAAGCTTTCCGTGACTTCACCGGGCTGGATCAGTTGCATACTGTTCCCTGAGATAATTGAACAGTTAACCTCTCACTCAGTATCTATGCATCCGTTTAATGTGACAAGCTGTCTTTACATAACCAACAGGCAGGTTTTC